GTGTGTGTGTGTGTGTGTGTGTGTGTGTGTGGTGTGTGTGTGTGTGTGTGTGTGTGTGTGTGTGTGTGTGTGTTGTGTGTGTGCGTGCTTGTGTGTGTGTGTGTGTGTGTGTGTGTGTGTGTGTGTGTGTGTGTGTGTGTGTGTGTGTGTGTGTGTGTGTGTGTGTGTGTGTGTGTGTGTGTGTGTGTGTGTGTGTGTAAGTGTGTACAGTGAGTGCTGTTTGCACCGCGGTGGCGGGTACTCGATATATATGATATATAGATACATAAAAAGCAATACAAAATAAACATTATATATATATATATATATATATATATATATATATATATATGAAAGATGGATTAACGTGGTAATGCAGTACTTATATATAAATAGAAATCCCTAACCAGGATTCGAATCTCTGCTTTTCGTAGTCATTAATGTATGTATATATGCATGAATATTTTAAGTGTTCCTTCTTTACCGGGTGATAAATTACCTTTAAAGGTACTTTCATCCATAGGAATGAAGCGCGGACAGAAAAGTATGAAGATAAACCTTTATAAGTTTTCGAAAAGCTTATATTGAAACAACCTTCTCAACCCAGGTAAAGATAGGACTCGAATTCAAGTAACTGTTTTATTCACATTAACCCAGGAAAAAAATGTGGATTCGAGGAAATATAAAAATAAGCTACAAATTAAAGCTGTAGATGTAAGCCATATTCGCTTTTGAATTAAATTACACGCACTTCACTGTCCACTTAAGCCTACGCGCAGTCTATCCTATTCCCAATTTTCGACTTCATTTAATCATTTTTGGATGATTTTGATATGCTTCCGGATTACTAATTCATGGTAATATTTCATCAATTAATACTGCGGTGTAATTATCTAAATCTCTATCAAAGTGAAAAGGAAAAACAAAAAAGAAAGAAGAAAATCACATGCACACATATCTATAAGTTGAAATAAACTTATTTTGAAGAGGAAAAATGTGAACCATGTACATTTATATAACAGACTGTTAGTTCTACGACAAATACTTAATGATGGCTTTTCTTGAAAATGCTGCCTGTTTATGCTTCAAGCCTGTATTATATATGCATATATATTCATACATAAATGTATGAACATTCTAAAAAGATATGAAATGAAGTCCGCGTGTATATTTTTCTTTCTGATTATAATGATGTTGATAACGTTCATTCTTCCTAACCTTTTATGATAAACAGTAAACTAGGTATTCATAATTAATGTCCTGATTCATGTAACTGAATGAGGAGGAAATGACACGTTGATTTCACTTCCTGTCATGATTATCGCATATTTATACATATACTTTTTCTTCGCTCCTTCTATTGGCCAGTAGTGATATAAACACCAATGAGATATACATCTTACATATCTCCCTTATATGCACTCCCAACGCTTAAAAGGAGAGTACGTTTGATGTTATATGAAAAATATATAAAACCGAATAGCAACAAGATCTCAAAATATCTTTTATTCTTTTTGAACCACATGCTACAAGTCCTCAATTTCAACATCTATTTTTAACACGTACATCAGAGAATCAGGTGTCAGGAGAAGAGGGAGGAGCAGCCACAACGCCATCCTTGTGTGTATATAAGCCGACGACGTCTGTCTTGGGACAACATTCTCCTTCTCTTAGACCAGCTGCAGGCTTCTTTGTCCACGACCATGTGTTTGAAGGTAAGTCAAAAAGAAGTGAAAATTGCAGATAAAGCAAATAACAGGTTTATTCATCAGCACTTAAATGTAAGTGTTAGAAAAGGATTGGGTGTTTGTTATACAGTAAACTATCACCACTTTATACTTCATGGCATATACGGTAGCTATGTATTATGTTGAAATGGTGAGTTTTACGGATTCATTCACTTCCCAGGTGGCTTTAGTGATGACATTGGTGACCGTGACACTGGCCTTCCCATCAGATCTTTACGGCCCTCCACGCCCAGTTTATAAAGACGTGAGTCCCACTTCAAACCTTTCTGCCTACTATTCTGCTAAATTAAAATTTCACATCTTTATAATGTGGTAATAACAAATGCTTTCTCTTGCAGCAACCCATGCCATACAGCTATGCCTATGCAGTCAACGACCACTATACAGGCACTGACTTTGGCCACAACGAAGACTCTGACGGCAGAGCGGTCAAGGGATCCTACAATGTCCAGCTTCCAGATGGCCGCAAACAGACGGTAGGAGAAAAAGCTTTGATCTTACATACTTGACATTTTCAAACCTTTACGCAGATGTACATAACAAGTAACAACAGAGATCCAGCTCTCCTTCTGAATACCTGTTATATATAACTATAATTCGACAAATGCTATTCACGATACAATCACTTTTCGCAGGTGAATTACATGGCAGACCACTACAATGGCTACCAGGCCGACGTCAACTACCACGGCGAGGCCCAGTTCCCCCGTCAGTATGGTCCCGCCGCCACCTACAGGCCGCAGCCATACCAGCCCCAGCCTTCCTACAGACCT